AGTGGGCCGGAGGCGGGGAGGGGGTTGGCATCACGTGACTCCGGCCGGGCGGCCGGTGGCGTGAGGGGAGGGCGGGTGCGGGGCTGAGGGGAGGCGCGGGAAAGCTGAGGCGTTGCCTGAGGGGAGGCCGGGTCGCTCGGCGAGGGCTGTGCGAGGCGCCTGGGATAACCTGCCGAACGAGGTCCCGGGGCCACAGTCCGGGGTCGTGCGTGTCCTGCGGCGGCGTTCCCCTGGGGCGAAGCCTGTTTCGCTTGCCATGGGGGAGAGCGGCCGCTTTCCCCGGTGGTGCCGCTCTGAGGTGGGGTGAGCGCTCGGGAGGGGCCAGGCCGGGCTGTCGGCTGGAAATGTTCTGTTCGGAGCGTGGATGGCCGAAGGGGTGTTCAAAACTGAGTCATCACAGCCCTGACATCGGCCGGAAAACGTTCACAGCCTTGAGGGGGCTTGTTTCATCTTTCAGAGCTTGACCCTGCATCAAGCAAAAATATTCATTAAAAAAATGTGATCTTGACCCTCCTTCCTTCCTATGTGTTGGTAACTAGCGCTTCAAGAAAAACTGCTGGTGTTGCAAGACCCGTGATAGAATTGCAAAAGCTAATAATGCTGACTAAAGCACATGAGAAGTTACCCAGTAACACACGTTGCCAGTAAGTCAGCCCCCACAGACGCTGGTAAATAGATTTGTCTTTGTTGTAACTCCCCATTAGTGGTAGTTGTCCAAACTCATGGTGTTCTCTCGGCATTGCTGCCTGATAAGCAAAATCTGATTGCTGGAGCTTGGTAATGTTTTGTGTGACATCTTACCCAATGCTTCTGACATATCCTTTTTTTCGTTTGTTAGTGCTTCAGCTGGCATCTAGGAGCCTTGGTTGGGATGTGAACAGCGCTATCTGCTAGTGTGTAAGAGATAGAGATGGATTTAGTTGCAGCCCGCAATTAAAAAATCTATTTTCAAGAGTGAGAGTAATGGAACGCTGGAACCACTTACCAAATAGCATGAAGGCTTTTCTGCTATTCTAAAGTTTTATAACTGGCTGGTATTTTTTCTAAAAACTTAAGCTGTCATGCTGGGATCAATTTGCTCAGGGACGTGCTGCAGCCCATAGAGGAGGATCTACAGCAGGTCATACTAAAAGGTCATTAACGATCCCTCCTGGCTTGGCAAGAGACATCCCCCACCTACTTCATCATGTTGTCAACTGCAGTTGACTTGAAAAGCTTATGCAAGACTACAGCATCTCCACGTAGATTCAGGGAACTAATCTCATGGGACCTTATTTAAGTCTGAATTCATTAGTATATTGGCTAGGAAAAGTGTGGGGTTTGTGTTATTTCTTTTGTTTCTTTTAAAAACTGCCATGTGGTGGGTGCACTGAACGTATTTTAACTCAAAGTAAGACATGGCAATTTTCTGCAAATGTTGAGGTCTCTCAGGATCCAAAAAGGGAGAAAGCAATATCGTGACTGATATTTATGCATAACATGAAATAAGACCGCAACTATGTAAAATTTATAAAGATCACTGAGTTACAGAAATTTTCTAGGAGGTGCAGATCTACCATTTTCTTGGGTATTCTTTAGCAGTGCTCATGTACTTTCATAGATAAACAGGCAGGGTGGCAAAGATCACCTATGCCATTTCTTTAACCTGCAACAGATAGAAAAATGAGACAGACAAGAGGGGGAAGAATTTTGTCCGAAACTAGAAAATACCGACCGGGGGGGAATAGTTTATTCTTCCTAGCTCATTGAACAGTCTGATCTCCCTTCTTTTACATTTCTATTCACTGTTTGAAAAGAACAGTTTTTTTCCTGTGGCATTTATTTTACAATACATGAGCATTACTATTTGCAGGGTTATTAGTACAGATAGTGGGCACTGTCCCAGGGAAGCTGACTACAGGGGAAGGAAGGGTGGAGCTGGGGCCATACCTTTATGGTCAGATGGTGTGAGGCTGTACTCTGCCGAGATAGTTTTAAAGGAATTAGCTTCCTTTAAAGGAAGGAGCATGGATATCTGTGTGGACTAATTTCTTCTGCTTCTGGCTCAGATCTTGCTGAGGGAAGTCTACACAATGCAGCTTAAGTTGTTAGTTATTCCACTCCCCAACTGAAGAACATATAAGATGGGGAAAAAATAAATAAACAATCGAACTCATATCTAGCAAATGCTAGCTGGGAGCCTTGTATATGTCATTCATGACAGAGAGATTTTGGAAGTTAGATATACTTACTGTAACAATCTCAAGCCTGGCAGAAATAGTGGAGGCTCCCATTTTTTTTGGAGAATTTAATGACAACATTTAATTGAATTTGGTTCCCCAAAATATTACATTTATGACGATGGCATTTGTATTCAACAGCCTGTGCAATGTGGGTTCCTGCAAATGGTGCTGTTGTTCCACATGCAGCTTTTTGAGCTATTTTTCTGCAGTCTGGGCTTGCATGGAAGTTTTCACTACCTCTCCATATAGCCCCACTTTTTTGGGGGATATTTAAGGCAGTGAACACATTTGAAACACATTCATTGAGCACTTAAATGCATTTTTCAGGGACAGAATAATTTGGTTCCTAAAGAACTATTTTCAATGACAAATAAATCCATTTTGCTTTTGGTTTGGTTGTTTTTTTTTTTTGTTTTTTTTTTTTTGTTTTTTTTTTTTTGTTTTTTTTTTTTTGTTTTTTTTTTTTTGTTTTTTTTTTTTTGTTTTTTTTTTTTTGTTTTTTTTTTTTTGTTTTTTTTTTTTTGTTTTTTTTTTTTTGTTTTTTTTTTTTTGTTTTTTTTTTTTTGTTTTTTTTTTTTTGTTTTTTTTTTTTTGTTTTTTTTTTTTTGTTTTTTTTTTTTTGTTTTTTTTTTTTTGTTTTTTTTTTTTTGTTTTGTTTTGTTTTGGTTTGGTTTGTTTGGGGGGGTTTTTTCCATCTCAGCAGAATGGAGGATATTGGTAATTGCATTCTGCTTTTTCTGGCTGATTCTTTTTTATTGACCTCAAGTTAAGGACAAAATGTGACTGTGTCAGGCTACTCCAACCATGTGATACAATGTGAATTAAAGAGTGGATGCCAGAGGTCCCCTCTTAGTGGCAGAGGGCTTGGCAGTCAAATCCTGCTCTTCCCCACTAATGTCTGATCTTGGTGTTCCCCCAGGAAGAGCTGAAGGCAAATATTTTGAAGTAGCCTGGAACAGGTGTAGGTATAAAGTGTGCAGTGTGCCAGGGTAACAAGTCACGCTGTCACGTACACCCTTTTGCCTACTGGGAAGATGAGTGGTATGTGTGAGAGTGCCCATGCCCGCACACGGGGGGAAATTCAGTCTCTCTGACTGGCTCAGAGAGCAAACACAAACAGATCATGACCTTGGCTGCCAGTGCCCTTACACGTAGATAGATCCTCTGCAGCACCCGTATGCCGGGGACCTTTTCGTAGCTCCAGAGGAAGGCAATTAGAATGAGGAATTCTACGTTCTGTCTCCTCAGTTGATTTTGGAAGGTGTCCACGTGTAGTGCTCTGTCACCATTTGGCAGGAACAGTTTTATTGTGAAGCCGTGATGGCGGTGATGCAATGAATGTCTCGCAGGATGTGTTTTACTTCTGACCTGATATTAGACAATAGTTTTCCCTGAATGACATTTTATATTTAGAATCACTCTCACACTGCTCAAACCCTGAGCAATCGTTGTTGCAAGTTGCTGTCTTTCTGGTGGACAAAAATAAAACTTAGATGAAATGAATTCACATGTTAAAGACAACTAATACTAAGTGCTTTGAAAAACAGTTATTAAGCCATTAAGTATTTATATATATGCATTCAAATAAAAATAGGGAAATCAGAAAAAAAAACAACCAACCGAACGAGAATTCTATATAGAAAAGAGTAAGCATTCTTGGGAATTAAAATTAATAATTCAGAGAAAAATGAATATTTATTAGTGATATAGTAGATGCTCTGTGCTTCCAAATCCTTAACTCTGAGATTCTTGTTCTTCTAGCTTCCATACAAAAATATGGCAGCCTACTGCAAAATTTACTCCTGAAGGACAACGTACACTGCATTGAAGGGAAGCATTACAACTGAGTTACTTGTCTACTTTTTTTTTTTTTTAACTTATTTTTATCAAATGAGTTAATCCAGTTCATGTTCCATAAACAGATAATAGGACCGATTCCCATTGGCTCATTCTCTTCTTTACTTTCGCTTTCAAGTCAGCAGAGGCAAGGCAACTGCTGCTCGTAAAGGCCATATTTTCACATGTCTCTTTTTTGCTTAATTGAAACTTCTATGTATGATAGCAGCATTAGAGAAAAGGTGAATTGCTCTAAATCCTGATATTTGACACTTTTGTGTCTAAATCCTAGCTCAAGATTGAAAATTGAATGATACACACTCCAGGCTCCATATATGGTGAACACATTAAAACCAAGAAGCAGCAGTGGAATTGTATGAGAACCCTGAGACTGACACTACACTGGATTTGAACAGATTCTGGTAATCCTGAGCTCTCACATCATGCAGAAAAACTAAAGCAAAGCAGAAAAAAGTAAAATTTCAAGTGAGAGGTGACAAGTGAGAGGTCCACAGAGAGTACAGAAGGATAGTGTTTATTAAAACATACCATCAAATCTGTGTTCATTTTCTAGAAATATATTTAATTATGTCAAGGAAAATAGGTATTTTGTATACTGAAGAAAATATATCCTATACTTTCTGTTTCCTGTTTCAGTTTGGTTAATGAATGTTGAATTGCTGTGCAACATCCTGAGAAAGGGCATTGAGAATTTAGTACTGATTGTTATATAGTGGTCTAGCCATTTACTCTAAGTAATTATATGGCCTCAGGTTCTGTACATGTCTTTGACTATGAACTTCAAAAGCTTTTGATGTATAATTTCTACAAAACCTCTTGTGGAAGTGTAATGCTTCTAGCATTTCTTTACAGATACGGAGGAAGGCTCAGAGCAGCTAAATTACTGGCCCGTGGTCACGTAGCAAGTCCTT